TAAACATACTCTATACCCTAGGTCCAGGCACCTTCACCCTCAGAGGGGTGATGGTACCTAGACCCAGGAGATGATACCCTGTTCCCTGGGGTGGAGACAAGCAGGCCGCCCCCGCCCCCAGCAGCAGGGAGGCCCCACATCCAGACCCCAATCAGATGGCCAATTCCTCCGTACACCCCCTGCCCCGATGGTAAACAGAGAACGGGGTGTGAATAGAATAGAATAAACCTTTATTATCCCACGGATGAGAAATTTCGGTGTTACAGAGCTCTTACAGCAAAGGACAATAAAATATAAAAGGAAGACACAAGGTGGTAAACAAACAAGCTGGTGAGTAAGATGACCAAAAGAATGTTAAGCTGCATTATAGAGTCTGACAGCTGCTGGTAAGAATGACTTGCGGTAGCGCTCCTTCCTACACTGTGGGTATAAAACTCGACTGCTGAATGAGCTGCTCAGTGCTCATACAGTTTCATGCAGGGGGTGGGAGGTGTTGTCCATGATGGATATTAGCTTAGACAACATCCTCTCCTCCCCAACCTGCTCGATGGACTTCAGTGGACAGTCCAGGACAGAGCTGGCCCTCCTGACTAGTTTGTTGAGTTTCCCCCTGTCCCTCTCTGCCATTCCACCACTCATGCAGACCACGGCATAGAAAATAGCAGACACCACCACAGTGTCGGAAAATGTCCTCATGAGTGTCCTGTTCACCCTGAAGGATCTCACCCGCCGTAGCAGGTGGAGACGACTTAAACCCTTTTTGTAAAGTGCATTTGTGTTTGTGGACCAGTCCAGTTTGTAGTTGAGGTGAACACCCAGGTATTTGTACTCCTCCACCGTTTCAATGTCCAATTCCTGGATGTTCACTGGTGTAATAGGGGGTGGCTTCTTGCTGAAGTCAATCACCAGCTCCTTTGTCTTGCTGGCATTGATGCAAAGATCTGTTATGTTCGCACCAGTTGACGAAGTCATTGACGACCCCACTGTATTTCCCTCCGACACCTGACCCACAATGGCGGTGTCATCTGACAACTTCTGGAGATGGCAAGTGTCCGTGTTATAACTGTAGTCCGCAGTGTACAGGGTGAAGCGAAAAGGGGCGAGTAGTGTTCCTTGTGGGGCCCCCGTGCTACAGACTACCACCTCAGAAACACAGTCCCGCAGCCTCACATACTGGGGTCTACTGGTGAGGTAGTCAATAATCCATGAGGACAGCTGATGGTCCACTCCAGCTCCCTGCATCTTCTCCCTTAGCACTGAGGGTTGGATTGTATTGAAGGCACTGGAGAAATCAAAAAACATGACTCAGTGTGCACCTGGTGCTCTCCAGATGAGAGAAGGCCCGATGCAGCAGGTACGTGACAGCGTCATCCGCCCCGATGTTCAGCTGGTAGGTAAACTGCAGCGAGTCTAGATCTCTCCCGACTAGTGGGCAAAGGTGGTGTAGAATGATACTCTCTGTTATATTCTCTCTTATAACTTAACTGGTAAGTAACGACGCCTTCTTTAGTCGTAGTAATTTACTTTAATAACCAGTCTAAGGAAAGGCGCAGGCATATCAATGCGCACATACACCACACTTTGTGTTCTCTACTTTGTAACAGAAAGTAGTACCACAAACTATAAACTGATTTTACTAAATACATAACAGTTCCTCCCATCCAACTTTGATGAACACAATAGGTACCAAACAATCAAAATATTTTCATCC